CTGCAGCTATTTCCCTCCAGTGCCCATACTGTTGACACACAGCAGAGCGTATCCGTATCCAGCAATCTGCACAAGTTTGAACATGTTCTGGAGTTGTGGCTGATGAAGCGGATGGAAGGACTGGCACAATTCAGCATTGGCAGGAGGTACTCAACTGAATGACAATCAGCAGGAACCTCAGGGCGTACTCGCACTAGCATTTCTATACTAACTTCTGGAATCTGGACAGAATTGCGGGCAGATTCATACAGGTCCGGCCCTAGATGCAGTCAGATACAATTGAAATAGTGCTAGTGTGAGTACGCCCTCAAGCCCCTATCTGGACATCATAACAAAGAGGCATCCAACCCAATCTCCATTCTCCACCCGACAAGCTTAAGGCCCGTCTAGGGTACGGTGATGACCACAAAGACCAGCAGGGCTGCAATGAGAATTCATGACTACCGTCTTCACCCGACTAGAACGCCCGGTCGTTATCGCTGCATCTAGACTGGAAGTCGCACCCAATGCAGCTATAATGACCGGGCGACGGGCGTTCTATTCGGGTGAATACGGAAGTGCAGATTCTCATTTTTCAATGCATGATCTAGAACACTCGTCAGCCGAGTCTGAGAGGAATACAAGAAGGAAAGGCAAGCTGTGACAGTCATTCCTCCGCTAGCTGAAGGAACCCTGAGCAGCATTGACTATGATTACCCCACTAAGCAGAGCAGTCGACGATGTTCAGGTGTCCTTCGGCATAACAGAAGGAAGCGTGAGTGTGTAAATGTTGTATTATATTCTGACTTGCCTGGGCGGGAAGTTACCGGACTGACGCTCCGACAGAAGGGATTTGGAGCCAGGACCATAAGGACCTGTTTCAAAAAAGAATAAAGAATAAAGCTGCTGATGGAGCTGACTAGGCGCGTGGACCTGGGCCTGGAACATAGATTCCGTGGACTCATTCAGACCGTTTGAACCTGGCCTCCATGCTCCAGGTGACCATTGAGGAGTTAGGCATTGGAGGAGAGAGGAGGTCTGGAGGGTAGAGAGGATTCCTACCTACTGCCATAGGTGGGGCACTTACATGAGTGCAAGCTTTGATCTGCGACCTCCACTAAATTGGAGGCTCAAGGCATCACCTCTTGGCAGTTAGAACCGTTTGTGTGTGTGTGTGTGTGTGTGTGTGTGTGTGTGTGTGTGTGTGTGTGTGTGTGTGTGTGTGTGTGTGTGTG